GTTTATATATTCTGTAAAAATGATCTTCGTAAGATAGGTGTTTGTAAATATTTTGTGGCTCAATTGAAACTATATAGGAGGCAGAGACAGGGAAATTTGAGTTAGAGGTCAGACTGGCGGTACCCTGTCTGAAAAATAAACTACAAAAGAAAACAAAAAAGAACTGGAGGCAGGGCTCTGTGGTAAAGTCCTTGGCTAGAAAACACAGGGCTCCTGACTTTCAATCCCTAGTACCATAGGGGGGTGGGGGGAGGGGGGAGAGAATAACTTCCAGATAATTATTTCCACTGAGTGATATCTTAATAGATTTTTAAGTCAGGCCATGGACAGCCATGAACTTTTCTTGGGTGCATACCTCTATGATAGTGAAGTTAGGGGACAGGGTGGTGGTTTGTCTCTTGTGAAGGAAAACAGAGACAAAAACAGACTTGAAGCAAAACACTGTAAGTCTTACAGTGTCTGAGGGTGCATTTCTCCCAATCCCTTGATGGCACGAACTATCTACTAAATCCTACCTGAACTGTTTATGGTGGAGATTGTGTCCCACTGAAACCTATGGTTTTTGAGATGTCAACACACACATAAACACACACATTCATATAGGTATGTGTGTGTATATACATCCATGCACACAAGTATGTGTATGCATACATATGTATATATAGCTTTTCCTATTTCTTGCCTTCTCTTGTTCTCTATTATTATTACTAATGACTATTTTGGGAGCTGTGATCCTGGAATCTTTGTATAAGGCTTTGGTTCATAGATTACGCTGTATAGATGTCAACAGCCTTGATTTCCCCAGCTTCATCCTTCAGACTCTGGTTCATAGATGACTGTATATAGAGGTCAACAGCCTTGATTTCCCTCAGCTTCAGCAGATTTTTCTGCACCTGTCCAATCCCATCTACCTGCATCAGGTCTTATCAGCCAAGTCCTGATGAGACTTGGTTTAAACTTTAAGGTACCTAGTCTCTTAGGATCATGGGTCATTTTTTTTCATCCTTCCAAACTTCTTATTCCAGCAGGTTTGAAGTAAGCATTTTGAAGATTTAATAAGCTTCTTCATATCTTTGCCAAGCTCGCCACCTTGTGGTCAATCTGAGGAACTGCATTCTTTAGCTTCAAGCTGACAAGTTTAAGCTGTTTATGGTTGTTTTGTATCAATAATATAATGATGTTCATAACTATGTCTGCTTCACAGAAGAAGTCACCTCACGTAGTTACTTAGGCCCACAAATTATATAAGCCTGGTAGTGTTACTTTATACATCTGGGGCTCACACCTAATGCTCCATAGGATTCTAGGTTTGTTTAATTTCTTGGTACAGGCTCTCCTGGGGGAAATAGGAAATACAGCAATCATTTGCATCTTTCTGAATATAGGTGTATTTTCACTTTGTAGGGAGTCTTGTGAAACTTTATCAGTGAATTGTTTTCCCTGGGTTGCTTTAACAAATAAATGACTTAAACAACAGAAATGTATTCCCTCATAGCCAGGGGGGACTAAAAGCTTGAGATGTATTGTTTCCTCCTGAGAGGTGAGGAGGAATCTGTGCCAAACCTCTCCTCAGTCTTCTGGTGGTTTCCTAGCAATCTTTGGTGTTCATAGTCTTGCAGATGCCTTTGCTTCCACACATCGTCCCTATGTGTGCATGTGTCCAAATTCTCCTTCCAATTACCTCATCTACACACATTCAGAGTATTGGGAATCAGAATTTCAACATCTGTAATCCAACCCATTCGACCTCCTACTTGATTATACTTCCACTTCATTTCTTCATTTTTTTCACAAGTATTTACTGCTCCCCCACCCCTCCTCCGATAGGCAGTTATATATTCCTCTCCAGGTCTGGCCATGAAATCATCCTGGCCAATAAAGCATGAAAAAAGAACTCACGTGTATGCAAGCAGAAACTGTTAAGAGCTTTCTCTCTTTATATAGTCCTCCACATGGAGACAATGACATTGAACACAGCAGTGGTTGAATTTCAGTGCAAGTACAGTCTGAACAAGAAGGAAATCCATCATTTCAAAGTATGGTGGGGGTCATTTGTTATCACACTTTAACTTAAGCAGACTGACAAAAGTACCTACCTTAAATTGAGTAATGCCCAAAATTCTCTCCTAATAGGAGTGTGTTTTCTTCATCCATTCATTAAATATTTGTAGAAAACTTACTATGTCTTAGGCGTGGTGCTACACATTGGTTACTACAGTGATGGTAACTTGGCCACAGTCACCAGATATCTACTCAAATACCAAGTTGCTAGGGCACAGTGCCCAAATATTTGCTCCAATACCAACCCAGATATTGCTGTGAAGGTATTTTTAGAGGAGATTAAAAGTGAATCGAGGAGACTTGGAGGAAGGTGCATTATTCTCCACAATGTGGATGGGCCTCATTTTGTTGACACCTTGTCCCACTTGCCCAGGAACAGAATCATGCCTTTGGATTTGAGTTGTAACTTCAGTTCTTTCCTGAGCCTGCAACCTACAGATTTCAGACTTCCCTACTACAAAATGGCATGAGCCACTTTCTTAAAAGGAAATCTCAGCTGAGTGCCAGTGGCTCACAACTGTACTCCTAGCTACTCAGGAGGCTAAGATCTGAGGATTGCAGTACAAAGCCAGCCTGGACAGGAAAGTCATGAGACTCTTAACTCCAATTAAAAAAAAAAAGCCAGAAGTGGTAGTGTGGCTCAAGTGGTAAAGCACAAAGAGACTCAAGGATAGCACCCAGGCCCTGATTTTAATGCCCAGGCCTAGCCAACAAATAAATAAATCTCACACATCCTATTGGTTCTGATTTTTTGCAAACCTTACACTGACAAGTACCACTAAACAAGCTGTAAGAGCAGCTAAGAATTTTTTTAAGTACTATCTATGAGGAATGCTAAAAAAAAAAAAAAATACTACAATTTAGTGGGAACACACAGGAAGAGACCTGGCCTATGTAAATTTTAAATGTAATTGTATTTGGTATTTAAATTATCTACTGCACACTATGAATCTGTACTTTGCTTTGGTGGCTACACACTAAATGACTTGCTAAAGCCGTGACATTCTTTCAATGCTATTAAAGGACACTTGTTAAAAATCCCTTTTTCTCTTTATCATGCAGGAGGTTTTGTCTTATAAAAGTAGTCTTTTGAGTATCATCAAGTTGCAATAGGACTTAATCACATGTCATTCTAGAAGGTACTTTAACCTCTGGAGAATTTGCATGTGACTTACAACATGAGTTTCAAAGAGTAAAAATAGACAGAGAAAGGCATTTTTAGTGCCATTATTGGGAACAGAATGAGAACAATGGTGTATTTAATAACCATTATCATTATCTTCCAGATTGAATTAAAATTACTTTAATACTCTATTACAAAAGTCTGCAAAAAAAAGCTGTCAGTCATTTTTCTTATTTTCACCAGCTTGGTAGCAATGAGCTCAAAGCTATTTCAATACTTTTGAGAAATAGTATAGATGTCACTTTCGAACTTGAAGAATTAAAATATTGCACACTATGTGATAATTGTAACTTCTAATATTCTTTTTCTACCACAGTCTTTAGTTTGCATGATGTGGCTAGACTTGGTCGAAATGACTAAATATAAGAGGCAGCATTTCAATAGTAGCTTAGCAGGCCTTACACAATGAACCTTAGGAGAGGAAGGTAGGTCTAAGTATAGGCTCTAGAGTGAGAATATGAGATCAGATCTCAGGCTGAGTCCGTTTGGGTTTGAAGGCTACTACTTGATGAATCTGTGGAATGTTGTGTAATCTTAATCCTCCCAATAGTTCATTATCATCATAGGGGGAATGAGAGCTTGGGAGATATTAACTAGTTAATGAAGATATACTCTCTGCTCTGTAATGTTAATTGTGATTGGTTGGAACCCAGTATCCAGGGGTTTTTAAACCACCTGGTAAGTTCCTCTCACAAGCCATAAAAGGAGCTCACTTAGAAAACATTGAGTGTGTTCATCAAATGATCTTCAGAGCACTGGTCACGATACATCTTAAACTGACTTTTAGTGTTATTGTGTTGTCTTTACTATATTTCAGTCCTTTAAGTTAGTTTTTCTTGTTTCTTTTTTTCTTTTTTTTTTTATTTTTATTTTTGCTGGTCCTGGGGCTTGAACTCTGGGTCTGGGTGCTGTTCCTGAGCCTCTTTGTGCTCAAGGCTAGCACTCTACCACTTGAGCAACAACATCACTTCTGGCTTTTCTGAGTAGTTTTATTGGAGATAAGAATCTCCTGGCTGGCTGTAGAACCACAATCCTCAGATCTCAGTCTCTTAAGTAGCTAGGATTACAGATGCAAGACACTAAGACCCAACTTTAAATTAGCTTTTTAAGCTAACTTTTTTGTTGGTGTTATTGTGTTCTTTAATATGTTTCAGTCCTTTAATAGGCAAACGTGATAGGGTGATAGTTTTGGACAAGAACATGATCTTAAGGTTCATAAGAGTAGCTAGGATTACAGGTACTAGTACTCACACCTGTAATCCTAGCTACTCAATAGGCCAAAATCTGAGAATTCTGTTTTGAAACCAGCCCAAGCAAAAAAGTACATGAAACTCTTAACTCCAGTTAATCAGCAAAAACTGAAAAGAGTTGTGGCTCAAGTGGTACAGCAACCTACCTTGAGGGAAAAAAAAAAGCAAGAGAAAACATAAGGCTCTGTGTTCAAGCTCCAACACCAGTACAATGAATAAATAAACTTTAAAAATAAGGAAAAGCATTCCTTAGAACAGGAGGAAATGGGATCCTCCTCAATATTTTGTATTGGACTCTAGAACTGACCTCTATTTCATAGGAATTCAATAGAATTATTTAATAGATAAAAATCTATTCATTAATAGTTAATAATAGGTAATTTATTTCATTTATCTTACTATTCCCAGGTGATGACAGAAAAAGGAAGAATGACTTTTGATTAACTGACCTTCCCAATCTTTGATTGAAAACCTAAAATGACTCTTTCAATATTTATCTCTTTCAGAAAATGGCTTTGAAATTCAAAAATGCAAAACGAATCGAAGGAATTGATAGCAATGTATGGTAAGTGTCTTAAATTCTAACCATCATTGGGCATTTTTTTTTTTGCCTCATCAGTAGTTCAAAAGTGGAGCCATTCATTTAATTCATCAATTAAAATGAAATGGAAGGAAGCTGGTCACCCACACTTGTGTTTCTTCATATAGCCAATGTGCCAAGTTCGATACTAGGCACTGGACACAACAGCACAGAAAAAAGAAATCTGGTTTGTGTGGCTTAACATTGTCTAATTTTTTTTACTTTTATTATCTTACTAAACTATTAACTTTTCTTTGTTTCTTTTTCTTTTCTTTCTCTTTCCTTCCTTCCTTCTTTTCTTCCTTCCTCTCTCCTTCCCACTGTCTCCTTTTTGAGATAGGGTTTCCAGTGCTGAGATTACAAGCATGCTGCACTATATCCATCTGAATTTTTCTTAATAGTAGTTGATAAGAGAACTAAGCACTATCTGGGAATGGTTGAAAAAAAATATATTAGTTAAATATGGGTAGCATGGAATTGAGGATTTTAAAGAATAGTATTATAATTATAATTTAGCCTTCTTTTTTTATTTACACAAGGGATATTTACCTTGTTGGTAATGATTTGTTGTTGTTGCAAACACTTGTTTTATTTGTGTGTGGTGGGGGATGGGGAGGTGTTAAATTCAAGGCCTAGCCTCTGTCCCTGAGCATTTTTGCTCAAGGCTAGTACTCTACCACTTGAGCCACAGCCCTACTTCTGGCTTTTTTGGTGGTTAATTGAACGTAAGAGTTTCATGGCCTTTCCTATCCAGACTGGCTTTGAACTGTGATCCTTAGATCTCAGCCTCATGAGTAACTACGATTTCAGGCATGAACCACCTGTGCTCAGCTTTTTGTTTTGTTTTTTGAATCTGCAAAACTAAGTTATATTTTTTTCTATTGTGAAATAAGACTAAATCCATACCAAGCAAGGTTTATAATTATTATACTTACTAATTACAGCATTGTTGTTCTTCATCTTAGGACTGAATTTACCAAGTTGGCTGCAGATCCATCTGTGGTGAATCTTGGCCAAGGACTTCCAGATATATCACCTCCTTCTTATGTGAAAGAAGCATTATCAGAAGTTGCATTCACCGATAGCCTGAATCAATACACAAGGGGCTTTGTAAGTTCCTCAATACGTGTGGGCACGTGTTTGCATTTCATATTATGCTGTCTATATGTAAACATGTACTTATTCATAGTTAACTCCTGGTAAACCCAGAGTTCCTCTCTTTGACCTTACCTCTCTAGGATGACCTTCCTTAACTTCCAGTCATTTGGACCATTATTTACTGCTATTCCAAAGTGAGATCTTAGAGCAGTCATGGAAGAAAAACCATTCTTTTGGAACATGTCTTTCTATCTTGTTAAACACACACACAGTCCCAGCTTCTGAGTGTACTCTGTCTCCAAATAACTACTTTCTTCTTCTCTGTCCTACCTTGATCCTCTTCTTTATCCTTCGGTGATGAAATGCTTTAAGATGACCAGACATTTTCCTAAATTAACTGACCTTGATGGGGCTGGGAAGGTGGCTCAGTGGTAGAGTGCTTGCCTTGCAGGTATGAGGCTATGGGTTCGATTCATCAGCACCACATAAGCAGAAAAAGCCAGAAGTGGTGCTGTGGCTCAAGTGGTAGAGTGCTAGCCTTGAGCTGAAGAGCTGAGGGACAGCACCCAGGCCCCACAACTGACAAACAACAACAACAAAAACACTGACTTTGAAAAAATCCATATAGCTATTATACAACTGAGCATGTCTTTTTCTTTTATGACAGTGTGGAAAATAGGGGAGGACAGAAGATAGGAAGAAAACTCTTTTGACTTTTTGTCTTTTAACTATAAAAGTCTGCAGGGTTGTGCTTTGGAAACGGGATCATAGGTAAAAGATGTGAGACTGTCCATAGCCTAGGATTCGACCCTGGTGGGAATTCGACTGTGGTGCTCCCACGGATTCACCCCTGATCTATCCCACAGACCCCAACCACATACTTCACTCCCATGCATTCACATCCCTTTTGCCAGCCTAAAACTGACAAACAGAGAAAATGAAATCAGATAGAAGGAGATAAGGAGGATTGAGGTTCCAGATTAGCCTGGGCAGGAAAAGAACTTATGGTGTTGAATGACTCCCATCCCACCCCTAGCAGGAAGCCTAAAATAAAATAGGAAGATAGCAGTTCAGGCACAGAGACTGGGGCCAAAATTAAGACTAGCCAGTTCAAGAAAAGAGCATTCGTAGAGAGTCTGAGTATCCAGCACAGGGATAAGAGTTCACAAGAACCCCAGTTATATTGGCCAAGGTTTTGAATTCTAGTAACAACAAATGCAGGCAGGGATGTGGGGGAAAAGGAACCCTGCTGCACTACTGGTGGGAATGCAAACTAATACAACTACTCTGGAAAGCAGTCTGAAGGTTCCTCAAAAAGCTAAACCTATACCTTCCCTAGGACCAAGCCATACTACTCCTTGGCATCTACCCTAAGCGTTATGAGCCAGTGTCATGATAAGGACACCTGCACCTCCATGTTCACTGCTTCACTGTTCACAACAGCCAAGTTATAGAAACAACCCAGATGCCCCACAATAGATGAGTGCTTCCAAAAACTGTGGTACCTATATACAATGGAATTTTACATAGCCATTAGAAAGAATAAAATAATGTCATTCGCAGGGAAATGGATAGAACTAGAACAAATCATGTTAAGTGAGGTAAGCCAAGATCAGGAAGACAAATGGTGCATGTTCTCCCTGATCTGCGGAAGTTAGATCTAAAATACGCTGGGATATGACAAATTACATAGAATTCTAGACAGTCACATACAGTGAGACCAAAAAGAGGTTAGTTATAGGAGGGAATCACAAAGGTGCAATACCCAAGCACCTCCTTCTCCCCCCCCCTCTATATATATATATATATATATATATATATATATATATGTACTGAGTACTGAGTAACTGGAGTTGCTAGATCTTCATTGGAAATACAAAGGGACCTGTTTACTCCTCTAGATCCCAAGGTACTTTCAAACAAAGGTAAATTACCTGCACTTGGACTCTTATAGAAGCAGAAAATCAGAGTAGATTCTCAAAAGAAGATGAGGAGTTGCCAGGCATTGGTAGCTCATAGCTTTAATCTTAGCTACTCAGAAGGTTGAAATCTGAGGATTATGGTTCAAAGCCAGCCCAAGCAGGACTCTTATCTCCTATTTAACAACAAAATGCCAGAAGTGGAGCTGTGGCTCAAATGGTAGAGCATCAGCCTTGAGCAAAACTGAGTTCAAGTCCCAGTACTGTCGCACAAAAGCGGTGTGGGAGGGGCGGGGTAGGGGGAGGAAGTCAGTGCTAGACAGTAAGACAAGGAAAGGAAAGGGGAGAGAATAGCAAGCGGAAGGAAGGGAAGATAACATAGAAGAATGGAAGGAAACTTCTCCAGTCTCCAGAATGCTCTGGGGTTTTTGACAAGATGACAAAATAAGCAGTCATTGTTGGCCTAGAGTATTCAGGGTTGAGTGTTAGAATTCAGGACAGTAGAACAGATAGCCTTCCGATAATGCAAAAACTGCAGATGATCTGGTAAAGAAAGGAATGAAATGTCTTACTTCGCCCTACGCTGGACCTGTTGACCTCAGAGAAGTCCTCTAACAACAGGAAAACAAAGTAAACAGCCCCCCACCCCCGTCCCCGCTTCTATCAGCACCGTGGACACCTACAGTTAGCTGTCACTGCTAGGGAATCCTAAGGCCTTGTCAGTGAGTGGAAAAGCGTTGCACTGTTCTAGGAGCATCCGGTTGATACTGGCCTTCCCCACCCAGACTGCTGCTGTGTGGCCCTATTTGAGACCCACTTAACTGTGCCCCACCCATTGCCAGTGCCCATTACCTTCCAGGCCACCTCTGTACTGTCCATAGAGACATGCACACCACACACTGCACTGCATTGCTAAAGTATGTAAGGGTGACTCTGTTTCTATGTAATTCTTAGAGATTCACAGGTGCCTCCTGCATGAATTACATTGCTGACCCATCCAGCAATGTTGGAATGACCCAAGTTCATCCTATACAAAACAAACACTTAAACACTATGTATTCTTAGACCTTTTATTTAGTAGAGTTTTCATCATTAACAAATCTTCATTCTTCTTTTTTTTTTTTTGTCAGTCATGGGGCTTGAACTCTGGGCCTGGGCACTGTCCCTCAGCTCTTCAGCTCAAGGCGAGCGCTCTACCACTTGAGCTACAGCGCCACTTCCGGTTTTCTGGTGGTTTATTGGAGATAGGAGTCTCACGGTCTCTCCTGCCCAGGCTGGCATTGTACCGCTATCCTCAGATCTCAGCCTCCTGAATAGCTAGGATTACAGACGTGAGCCACCAGCGCCCAGCTTTCATAACCATTCTTGTAGGAACCTCTCTAACAGTAGGGAAAGGCTTTTTGTTTCTTGTTCTTGTTAATGTGTTGCTTCCGGGCACCTATAGTTCACACCTGTGGTTCACACCTAGTTACTCATGAGGCTGAGATCTGAGGATTGTGATTGGAAGCCAGCCCAGACAATAAAGTCTATGAGACTCTTATCTCCAGTCAACCACCACCAAAAACCTGGAAGTGGAGCTATGGCTCAAATATTAGAGCACTAATTCTGTGGAGGTCAAAAAACTCAAGGACAGTGCCCAGACCCAGAGTTCAATCCCCCCAAATATACAAAGATAGGCAAGGTGGCTCATAGCTGTAATTCCCACTCCTTGAAAGGTGAAAATACTGGCCCAGGCAAAAAGTTAGTAAGGCACTATCTCAAAGAAGAATCTCTGACTCAGAACAATTTCTGAACTATCAAAGAACTATCTGAACAGCTAAAAGCTATCTCTGATATAGTAGTGGCTGCCTGTAATCCCAGCTACAAGGAGACAGAGAGAGGAGGCTCATGGTCTGAGGCAAGCCCCAAGCCAAAAAAAAAAAAAAATACCACCATATCTGAAAAATAACTAACATTAAAAGGTCTGGAGATAGGATTCAAATGGTAGAGGCCCTGAGTTCTAACCATACTACTCTTAAAAAAATGTTACTCTTTGTAACTCTATACATTAACCCAAATTTTAAAAATTCTTAACATTTAAAGTTATATTACCTCAACAGTGTTGGTTCTATTAGCAAATTCCAGCTTTGATTATGTTTTTCTTTTTAATCCAACAGGGTCATCCATCACTTGTCAAAGCTCTGTCCTGCCTCTATGGAAAATGTTATCAGAAGCAAATTGATCCAAATAAAGAAATTCTCGTGACAGTAGGAGCATATGGCTCTCTCTTCAGTGCCATCCAGGGGCTGGTTGATGAGGGAGATGAAGTAAGCATACTCACGTTATTGTAATATCTGTATTATCATTATCATTTATTCTACCTTTGAATGTTTACTTAATTTGTGTTCTTTCCCTTTTCTATTTTAAATTATTTCTGAAGTCTATCACATATACAGTAAAGCCAATGCCTTTTAAATGTAGAACTGGATAAGCCTCCATCTAACTAAACCTCAGGTGAAGATTTTGTATGTTTCTAGCACCCTAAGCTATTTCCCCTAGAAGCTGCCCATCTTCCACTTCCTTACCCCACCAGCTAGTTCTCTCTGCTCTTGCACTTGATATAAGTGAAACCACATAGGATAGATTCTTGAGTCTGGCTTCTTTCATTTGTCACGAGGTCTGGGAGATGTCTTTGCTTGGTTACTTTTTGTTCTTTTTATTTTTCCAGCCTGCTGAGAAAAACGCAAGGGTAGTAAACTAATAAGGAAGAAAAAGAACTCTTAATCTCACTTAGTCAACGAGTATTGGGTCAATGCTGCTTCATGTCCAGTAGAATCTGAGCAATAGAGTGTGAGGATATATAACAGGAATGTCAAATCAATTCAGCCATTTTGTACTGAAATGTAAGACCAACTCTTAACACCTGTCTCCATTGCTGTTATAAATCTTCCACTTTAATATTTCTTGACCTTGTTCATTTATTCAGAAAATCACCAAGGATAGGTAGGTACCACTAGAGAAAAGGTATTTAAAAAGATAGGTTTCGCTGGGCACTGGTGGCTCACACGTGTAATCCTAACTACTCAGAAGGCTGATCTTAGGATCACAGTTCAAAGCCAGCCAGAGCAGGAAAGTCCAGGAGACGCTAATCTCCACTAAACCACCAGAAAATCAGAAGTGGCACTGTGACTCAAGTGGTAGAGCACTGGCCTTGAGCTGAAGAGCTCAGGGACAGTGTCCAGGCTCAGAGTTCAAGCCCCACTACTAACAACAACAATCAAAAAAAAAGTAGGAAGACCTATGTGTCAGTAGCTGACACCCATTAATTCTAGGTACTCAGAAGGCTGAGAACTAAGAATCATGATTCAAAGCCAACCTAGGCAAACAAATCTGAGAGACTCTCATCTACAATTAACTAACCACGAGCCAAAAGTGGAGGTGTGGCTAAAGAAAAAAAACCTAATGAGAAGAAGAAAAACCTAATGAGAGCATGAGGCTCTGTTTCAAGCCTCAGTACCGGTAGATACAAAAAAGTAAAAAGAATAACTGACTGTATATTTTATGATAGTCATAAGTTGTATGTCTGAACTCCCCTTCTACAAATGAAAAAAAGGTTAGGAATGCTAGATCAAGCTGATAGGTTGAAGATAGGCTAGTGACTGGTCTAGCTGGTTTGAGAACTCTCTTGAAAGCCCAGGAGGAGTGATGGGGAGAGAAAGGGGCAAAAGGACAGGAGATCCTCCAGAGGACTTGGGGAAAAGACAGGCATCCCCTCCCTGTTGTGTGATGCTTCTGAAAAGAAAGAACATTTTTACTCTCAGGATAAATAACTTGTGTAAACTAGCACTCTGAGTCAAAGAGCACTGTGGCATTCTCTTTCCTTTCAGACCTGCTCCACTCATTATCTGGTACATCATTTATATCCTCTAATGTATTTGCTAACTTGAAATATAAGGACATTCTTCATGGCTTTGAATAAAACATCCTTTTGAGAATATAATTAGAGGTATGAGCCCCTTTTCCCAGATAAATCACCCTGTGCACATATAAAAATCTTACCATTTCAAGTGCTCCACTGCAAATGATCCATAGACCCTCCAAAGGCACCAGGGACTCCAACTTAGACTCCCTGGACAAGTTTATACCCAGGGTTTTTCATACTCAAACACTAGCCCCATGAAGGCCAGGGCTGTCCTTTTCAACGTGTATTTCACATGTGTTAGTGATCCATGATTGTATTTTTCTTTGCTTTAATTTCAGGTCATAATAATGGTGCCTTTCTATGACTGCTATGAACCTATGATAAAGATGGCTGGAGCCACACCTGTATTTATCCCCCTAAGATCTGTAAGTTTGCCAGCTTATTCATATGCTTAAAGGATCAGTTACCTTGATAACTTTTGTGAGTCTTCTCCAAATAATTAATGCACTAAGATGAACCACAGAATCTTCTATTAGCCTTACTGTGCCTCACATGTTAACCACTTATAGCTGGTCCCAGGAAAGGAAGAGAAGGGCTTTAACAGATATTACGTGGACAGGGTCAATTTTTCCATTTAGCAGGTGTAAGTGTAAGATTCAGGTCCTCATAAATTCTCACATTAGAACTAATGTCCTTTCTCCTCACTGTCTTTGCCAGTCATTCAGTAGTTACCATGTAGTTTGCCCTGCCTACCTCCAATTTCTTTTCCTTATTAGGTAACTTGTATGTAAGACAGCAAATGTGAATTACTTTGTTTAAATCACATCTTCATTCTTCATGCTTAGAAACCTGTTTCTGGAAAAAAATGGTCTAGTTCTGACTGGACCTTCGATCCTCAAGAACTGGAAAGTAAATTTAACTCGAAAACCAAAGCCATTATCCTCAATACTCCACATAATCCCTTTGGCAAGGTAAGCAAGTCTCTTACCTCTTTATACATACTGTCGTTGTGTTATTGTTTTCTGGGTGTATTGACTACTGTGCTCTTTCCTTGAATATGTGTAGGTGTATACCAGAGAGGAGCTCCAAGTAATTGCGGACCTTTGCATCAAATATGACATACTGTGCATCAGTGACGAGGTTTATGAGTGGCTGGTATATACAGGAAACAAGCACATAAAAATAGGTACTCATTATTATGCTGGACCACACATCTAAATGTGCTTGGCACATGTGTATCAACTGATTAGAAAAGACCTCAGGCAGCTTTAAAACTCTCTTCGTAAGGAGTATCTGCCTGCATGAACACCTAAAAATAGAATTTAGGTCAATAGGGTTGAGTGAGTTAGAGAATCACTTGAAGGACAAGTAGTCCAAATTTAGAAGAGATACTGAGTTGTTCTATAAAGCTGTGATCCCAGCAGAGAATTCCTTTGCCCATTTTTGTGGCTTCTTATAGAAAATCCTGCCATTCCTCGGGATATAAGACACTGGACAGCCGGGCGCTGGTGGCTCACGCCTGTAATCCTTGCTACTCAGGAGGCTGAGATCTGAGGATCGGGGTTCAAAGCCAGCCCGGGCAGGAGAGACCGTGAGACTCCTATCTCCAATAAACCACCAGAAGTGGTGGCACTGTAGCTCAAGTGGTAGAGCGCTTGCCTTGAGCTGAAGAGCTGAGGAACAGCGCCCAGGCCCAGAGTTCAAGCCCCACGACCGACCAAAAACAAAAAAACAAGACACTGGACATGTCACTGTTCCTGACAGGTTCTGAACTGTTGGCACTGAGCAAGTTGCCAAAATGCCAAGGCATTTTGGGACAGCAGGGACAGTAACTAACACTTGGTCTTTGCCTGGGATTTCTGCCATTGTTTCTGGGATATCTCTCACACATCAGTGTCTTAGGTGTCTTTCCACTCCTACTCTAAAACTCTTAAGGATTTCTTTTTCTTAACAAAAACATGGCAATTAGAAATCAAAAGAAAAATCATAATTGGTTTCATTATCCTTAGCATTCGCTGTCAGATAAGTGACAACCCCAGGTATAAGAAAACTGTGGAAGAAAATTTCCTGTCTCAAGTCATTTGAACAATGTCCACTTAAAAATCACTCCAACTGCCAGGTGCCGGTAGCTCACACCTGTAATCCTAGCTGCTCAAGAGTCTAAGATCCGAGGATCACAGATCAAAGCTAGCCCAGGCAGGGAAGTCCATGAGACTTACTTCCAATTAATCCAGAAAACCGGAAGTGGCGCTGTGGCTCAAGTGGTAAAGCTCTTGCCTTGAGCCCAAGAGCTAAAGGACAGCACCCAGACCAGAGTTCAAGCCCCATAACCAAAGGGGGAAAAAAAGTGACTCCAACCTGATTAATTGATATTTTTGTAGTTGGGGGCTGGGAATGTGGCTTAGTGGTAGAGTGCTTGCCTAGCATGCATGAAGCCCTGGGTTTGATTCCTCAGTACAACATACACAGAAAAAGCCAGAAGTGGTGCTGTGGCTCAAGTGGTAGAGCTCTAACCTTGAGCAGAGAAGCTCAAGGACAGTGTCCAGGCCCTGAGTTCAAGATCCAGGACCAGCAAATATATATATAGTAGTTAATGTAGCAATACTTATTCTGAAAGATTATTATGATTATTTTAAATGATCACAAAATTTATTGATTTGATATATGAATTACAAGCTCTTTGCATAGAACTATAATTGTTAAAGATTTGCAAGATGTACTGTAACTAAACTTTGTTTTAGCTGGTATAACATCCCACTAATTTAAAACAAGTGGGAAAAAAAAGAGTTCACTAGACAATAATTTAGATAGGTCAATCTGTTTGCAGTAAAAGAAGTCTCTCAGCTGGGCACCTGTGGCTCATCCCAGAAATTGTAACTACTCAGAAGGCTGAGATCTGAGAATTGCAGTTGGATGCCAGCCCAGGCAGGAAAGTCTTATCTCCAACTAACCACCAAAAAGCCAGAAGTGGAAATTTGGCTCAGATAGCAGAGTGCCAACCTTGAGTGGAAAACCCTAAGGGACAGAGGCCAGGCCCTGAGTTTAAGCCTTAGTACTGGCGCAAACACACAAAAAGATCTCTCAACTACAATGGTCCATTAGTGAAAGATGCAGAAGGCCGGCTCCTCAGTTTACAAAGCTGGGAGACCCTTTTCTAATGTGAATGCACTGAGACTATATATCTAACCACACATCCTACAGTTAGTGTCCTGTTCATGTTGCCAGCCAAGCAACACTGTGCTGCACTCTTTATCATGTCTCCTCTTTTTCTGATTTCTACTGAAATTGCAGTCACCTGTGAGAAATCATTAGTGCTGCTGGGGCTAAGGTAAGCATTGTCTGTCATAACTGAAAACTGCAAAAGCTAATTGCTTTCCAGATGTCACTGCAACTCAAAATGTAATGGTTGTAGTTTTCTAAAGTCGTCAGACATGGAAAGCTTTGTTTGGGGTTTGTTTTATTTCACTGGTTGGTTGCCTTGGGTTTTGCCTGCAATGACCACATTCACATGCAGAGCTCTCTGTAATCATGTCTTTGTGCTTTTCCATCTCCCTGATTGAAAGAACATAACCATTTTCCATATTTTAACATTATTTAAGGTTTGTTTTATGAAATGTTCCTCTTGGATCAGATTCTTACTCAAATTATATTTAATTTTCATCCAAATTATATTTAGTTTTTCTAAAATTATATTTCAGTCAGCAAAAGAAAACTTTCTCTTCTTACCCCTGTATCTACTAATACATGGACATTTGCCAAATTAGTATATACTCCTTGTAAGCTGTTCAACGGATCTGCTTACTTTTTGTGGGGGGGAAGACAACCACTTTTATATGGCTAAAATTAGTCACTGACATATCACTGAGCTCTTCATTTAACTACTATGATTCGTTTTGACACTTTGTTGAGTGACACCTGCATTTGATGTTTAATTTTCAGTACAGAGTGGAAACATGGGAGAACTGCACTAGTTCCTCAGGGTGATATTTACTTTCAAGGTTTTATTTCTAAATATTGTTTTCCAGATAGACCTTGTTGATTCAGGATGTATATCATTATTTTAATATACTCCTCATTGTATATAGTTTAGATTTTGGTTAGATGGAAGCCAGAGTATGTGTCATGTTCTTTTGGTATTGTTTGTGAAGAAAGAAACATCTCAAAACTCAAAAGGCTGTAATAACATTAAATATTACAATATTCTTTTTTACAAATGATCCTTCTAAATATTTTCACTTATCTTTTCTGTTTGTGTTGTGTTGCACAGAGAATGCAAGTATAATCTTTATCATTTAGTAGTTTTCCTACAGTTACAAATAATGATAGATATTTACTAGACTGAAATTAATTTGCATCACTTTAAAACTTACTTTAGCTGCCTCACAGAGTGGTAGACACTTTTACTTGCATATGAGCATATTAAAAGAAAAAAAAGACTCAGACCTGCAGAAATGAACATTTATTTTCCCATTGTGGATACAGATACTGCGAACAATACAAAAGTTCCTGCTATGCTACTAAAAACAAGTTGAAAGATGTGAGATTTTATCTAAAGAACTTTATAATCAAATTAAGTAAGGTGACAGCCAGGCACCAGTGGCTGATACCTGTAATCCTAGCTACTTGGGAGGTTGAGATCTTATGAATGTGTTCCAAGCTAGCCCCTGGGCAGGAAAATCCATGAGACTCTTAGCTCCAATTAACCACCAAAAGGCTAGAAGTGAAGCTGTGGCTCAAGTAGTAGAGCACTAGCCTTGAGCAAAAAAAGCTCAGGGACAGCATCCAGACTGAGTTCAAGCCCCACAAACTGGCACCAGAATAAATAAAGATTCAGAAAAGTCAGAATTAGCTGGGCACAATGATTGAAGCCTGTAATCTTATCTATTTGGGAAGCCATAATCCGGAGATAGAGGTTCAAACCAGCCCAGTGATAAAGTTTGAGAGATTGTTACAGTCAGTGACACACACCTGTCTATCCAGCAACAAAGAGAAGCACTGTAGGAGGATTGCAGGGCTGGCTGGTCAGGGCAGAAACAAGACTTTGTCTCAAAAATAATCAAAGGGCAGCACTGGACATTGATGAAAGTAAACTATGCAACTCATGGGTGGAGATGGTAGGAAGAGAGTGAGGGAACAGATGACACTCCAAGAAAGAAAATGTACTTATTACGTGATGTATATAAAAGTAACCCATTGTACATCACCTCTAAAATAACAATAAAGGAAATTAGAAAAACAACAACATAATGACCAATGGGCTGGCCACTGGTGGATCACAACTGTAATCCTATCTATTAAGGAGAGTGAAATATGAGGATTGTTGTTCCAAGGCAGCCCTGGCAGGAAAGTTCTGTGAGACTCTTTTTTTTTTTTTAATTTTTTATTGTGAAAATACTGTACAGAGGGGTTACAATTACATGGGCAAGATAGTGAGTACATTTCTTATCAAGCATTGTAGCCTCCTCCTTTGTTTACCCTTCCCATCCCTTCCCAGCCCCCCCCCACAACCCTCCCCCCCCCCCCCCCCCCCGCCACCAAAGTTGTAAAGTTCGTTTTCGACATGACAACTTGTACATCTCATTGTTGCAATGGATCCACTTGTATCCTTATATAAACGACTTATTTTTCCCATTCCCCTCCACAAATTATACCAACATCAAATACAGTGAAAGCAGGGGTTATACTGTGGGGGAGGGACATACAAAGCAACAAAGAAATAATCTTTGGGGCATTTACCCAAATGTTTACAAACAAGACCACACTAAAGCTACCAGCACAACTATGTTTATTGCAGCATTATTTACCATAGCTAAGATCTGGAACCAACCCAGATGCCCCTCAGTAGATGAATGGATCAAGAAAATGTAGTATATATGCACAATGGAATTCTATGCCTCCATCAGAAAGAATGACATTGCCCCATTTGTTAGGAAATGGAAAGACTTGGAAAAAAATTATATTAAGTGAAGTAAGCCAAGCCCAAAGAAACATAGGTCCCATGGTTTCCCTTATTTGCAATATCTAGTATATGTTTGAGTCAAGCAGAAAAGGTCAGATAAGGTGAAGTTAGGAAAATGAACCCTAAGATATGTATTTAAATGTTTTTTTTTTCTTTCATGCATTTGTTTCTAACGCATCTATAAGATTATTTCTGTGAGACTCTTATCTCCAATTAACCACCAGAAAACCAGAAGTGGCGCTGTGGCTCCAGAGTAGTAGAGTGCTACCCTTGAGCAAAAGAGTTGAGGCACAGTGCCCAGGTTCTGAGTTCAAGTTCCGTGACTGACAAAACAAACAAAACAAAAACAATGAAAGGACTTGGAAAAAATCACGTTAAGTGTCAAGGCCAGAGAGACAAAGAATACATATGTTCTCTCATATGTGGAAGCATGAATTAATGTATAAATGTATACATAAATACTTTGGGATGATATGCAAGGGTACATGTATGTAGTAACTGAAGTATGATATATTTGGGGAAAATCCAAATGGTATAATTCCTTGTAAAGACTAACCCACAGCCCAACAAAATAAACACCAGGAACCAGACACTGGAAAGATGGAGGTGGGGTCAAGGGAAGGTAGGTAGACAAATGAAAAAGAATATAGTCATGACAGGGGATATACAGCTCAGTGGAGTTGTAAACGAAGTACACACTAGTTCCTGGGTCTGCCTCCTCTAGTTCAGCTAATTCAGTAGGTCTGGAATGAAGCCCTGGGTACAATTTTCCTGTCTTAGAAATTCCCCAGTAGTAGCTTACTATAGTGGGACCACATTGCACGAGCTGTTGCTCTAGAAAGCATGAATTGTAAAATCTCAAAAAAAAAAAAAATGGACAAGGGTCTGGGAAAGTGGCTCCATGGTAGAGTGCTTGCCTTGCATGTCTGAGGCCCTGGGTTCGATTCCTCAGCATCACATAAGCAAAAAGAAAAAAGCCGGAAGTGGCGCTGTGGCTCAAGTGGTAGAGTGCTAACCTTGAGCTGAAGAGCTGAGGGACAGCATCCAGGCCCAGAGTTTAGGCCCCACGACCAGACCCCCCCCCCAAAAAAAAAGGACAATGAAAGGACTATCCCATAGTCATAAGGACAGCCAAAGCCAGGCTACAGGACAGGAACTAGGTACAGCCACTGGAGCTTAGGTCCACCCAGCCACCAGATGCCACCAGATCACTGCCTGCTTGTATTACTGCCCCTACTGTCCCTGGAAATAATTTTGCCAATGCAGAAACTATTCAATTTATTTCCAAATTACCTGGCACACCACTGAAGTATTGTAAAGTATTTTCACCTCAGTTTGGGCTTCAAATTCTATTATCTTAAGTAACCTACTACAGCTATCCTATACTACAGTTAATACTTTGAATTCCTGTACTTGGGTTATGTTTTTAGATTATACTACATGTACATTGATTAGAAACAGTTCTTTAAGCATCTCCCTTTTTTGGGTCCCATTTCAGCCACGTTTCCAGGTATGTGGGAGAGAACAGTAACGATCGGCAGTGCTGGGAAGACGTTTAGTGTGACTGGCTGGAAGGTAAGAAGAGGAGGAACTTGGTTGTGGCTGAGCATGTGACTCAGTAGTAAGGCATGTACTTAACAGGTGAGAAGCCCTGGCTTTACTGATCAGCACTCACCTTTCCACAAAAGAAGGGGAAAAAACAAACTGCTTAAAAATAAGCACCTATTTTATCTTTTGTCACGTTATATGTGTTATGTGCATACATACTCCACTTACACAGGTTTTTAATTTTTTTTTTTTTACTTTTTGACTTATTCAGCTTTCATGTTGAGCTTCATCCTTCTTAAGATCTGGTCATTTCTTTAAAAGTAAGAAGCCTTCAATATTGTTTAAATTTTGTAAGTAATCAACTAATACTACTTTTCCTTTACAAAGGAATTTCAGATTATTGCTTATTGGTATAAAAGGAGAAAATGATAGCTAATATTCTGCCTCTATGTGCCCGACTCTAAATGTTTACATGTGTAAATTCATTTCCTTCTTGGAACTACTTTCCCTGCTTTGTGGATTATGGAATTAAAACATAGAAGAGTAAAATATAAAATATCATGCCTGGGATGACACAGCTACTAAGTTCAAGGCAGGGCAGGGGCCCTGGCTTCAGAATCAAAACATTTAACCTCTGTGCCATTTAGTACAATAACAATTCATTTGGCTGCAGCTTAATTCCCTTCCAGCCTCACTTCTACTGAACATGCTGTGATTCAGAGCACATCGTTAGGAGACCTGGAGATTCTGAGTCTATATGATTTAACTCTGGAGGAATCCCATAGGCTCTCATAGAGTTACTTGTGTCTGTAATTCAAACAAGCCCCATGCTGCTGCTTCCACCTTCGAAGTGTCAGAAGTAGAAAATTATAGTGCACATCTGTAACTCTAGCACTCCTGAGGCTGAGGCAGGAGAATCAGGAGTCCAAGGTCAGTCTGGGTTACATAGTGAAAACAGAGGGGGGTGAGGACAGCATCTAAGAGAAAAGGTTGATCAAGATTAGAGTCTACTTCCAAAGGCAGAGCTGAGCGATGAAGGCAGAGCATGCTGACTCCAGTTGGAAACATCTCCACAGAAAGAATGCTGAAATGCTTCAGAGTCCACACACTGTCCTGCTTTCATAGTGTGAACATTTCTGAATGTCTTTATTTAACCCTTATATAACTGTGCTCAAGCTTTCTGTGGACTATTAAATTTGTTATTGTTGTTTTTTAAAACTACTTTGTTTTTCTTTTCCCAGCTTGGCTGGTCCATTGGCCCTCATCATTTGATAAAGCATTTACAGACAGTGCAACAAAACACCATTTATACCTGTCCAACTCCTTTACAGGTGCGTGTTCTAGAAATTTAGGTTATAGCCTGGTTTATTGGTAAAGGTGAGAATTTTATATTTTGCATTTGAATTGACTTAGTTCATGCTGTCATGTGCTTCTTGAGAGGGTTCTGTAATGTATTTGGAAATTTAGGTGCAGACTCACTGTTATCAAGATTGTTTGACTTGGGGGTTTTGTTCATTTTATATCAGGTTGTGCCTTTGAATATGCATAAATTGTTGGTGGGAAAATACAGTGCTTCAAAAACTCTCTAGAGGACAATGGCACTGCTCAGCAAAATTAGAAGTTCTGGGTCTATGAAACAGTCAGCAGTCTTTTGAAAATTTACCCTAGATCTATATTATGCTGAGAGACAGTTGGACCATGGAGGCTTTGACCTAATTAATGGATTCATCCATTGACAAAGTTATAATTTGATGCACTTTTGGAAAGTGGTAGAAACTCGAAAGACCGAAATATAGCAGACAACATGCCTGCACTCATGCAGTATATACCTTGCAGGGGACACACGTAATAAATGTTTTTAAATGTAATGTCAGATGTTAAGAGATATAAAGAAGAAAAATAAAGTAGGGAAATCGAAGGACATATGATGGACATGTGATAGGGTAATCTTTGAAAGTCTTGCTAAGAAGACAACATTTGAGCAGCAAAAGGAAGGTTTAGCTCATGTAGTTATTGAAAACCCTTGTGCATTGAAATAACAGCAAGTGCAAAGGCCTATGGGTAGACAGTACAGATAACATGTTTATATCATTGAATAGCATAGAGGCTGGAATGAGATGATCAGGTGATAAGAGGGGAAGGAGCTAAGGTCAGAGGGCTAGGAGACAGATCAAGCTGGCCCAAGTAGGTCTGAGTGATGTAAGAAGTCATGGGAGGGGCTGGGAAGGTGGCTCAGTGGTACAGCGCTTGCCTTGCATGCATGAGGCCCTGGGTTCGATTCCTCAGCACCACATAAGCAAAAAGAAAAAAGCCGGAAGTGGCACTGTGGCTCAAGTGGTAGAGCGCTAGCCTTGAGCTGAAGAGCTGAGGGACAGTGCCCAAGCCCAGAGTTTAGGTCCCACGACCGGACCCCCCCCCCAAAAAAAAAAAGAAGTCATGGGAGAGTTTTGATAACAAGAATGGCATAGTCTTCCTTGTGTTATCAAGGATATCTATTGCTTGTTGAGTGGGAAAAAAAACAACGGGCTGGGAAGGTGGCTCAGTGGTAGAGTGCTTGCCTTGTATGCACAAGGCCCTGGGTTCAATTCCTCAGCACCACATAAGCAAAAGGAAAAAAGCCAGAAGTGGTGCTGTGGCTAAAGTGGTAAAGCACTAGCCTTGAGCTGAAGAGCTGAGGGACAGTGCCCAGGCCCAGAGTTTAAGCCCCAGGACCAACAACAAAAAAACCTGTACCAGAGGCCCAGGAGAAAAATGCCAATGGGCTGAACCAATATGAGGGTATGAGGGTGATAAGTGAGTGGATTCTCCATATACTTTTAAGGTTAAGCCAAAAATCTTGGTGGATGACTGAATACAGAGTTTTAGGGAGAAGAGCAGCCTAGAGTAATATTGGAGTTATGATGGACATTTTTTTTTTCCGGTCATGGGGCTTGAACTCTGGGCCTAGGCACTGTCCCTCAGCTCTTCAGCTCAAGGTGAGCCCTCTACCACAGCACCACTTCCAGTTTTCTGGTGGTTTATTGGAGATAGGGTCTCACGGATTTGCTTGCCTGAATCGGCTTTGAATTGTGATCCTCAGATCTCAGCCTCCTGAGTAGCTAGGATTATGTGCATGAACCAACAGCGCCTGGCAACGATGGGCATTTATATCTCTGCACTTCACATTCTTTAGCGCTAAGTCTTCAGTATAGTGAATACTGTAGTTGCTAAGACAAAGACAGAAAGAAATCTCTTTTTGTAAACCATCTTTTTCTTCACTTCTGCAAGATGCCCTGTTTGGCTTTCTGTTTGAAAACTGATCTCTGGTTTCTTTGACCTGAGAAACAATATTAATTCTATTTTGCTGCTAAATTCTTTTGCCATGAGGCTTCCCTGATCCTGCCCTCTGTTTTCCCTTTCTCATCTCTAAGCATACTATGTCTCTTGCTATTTGTCAGCTACATTGGTTTCTTTCAGTTCTTCCAAGAGAACAAATTATACCCTGCTTTCTGCTTTTTATTTGTTTCTTCCTTACCTCTGTCCTCACTTCCAAAATAATGATCACTGAAAGATCCCGGAAAGCAAGGACAATGCCTATCTTGTTAGTTTTTCTATTTTCATCTCTTTTATCTGAATTCCAGACTTAACATAGGTATTTGGTATGTATTTATTGAACAAATAAATTTTTTCCTTTAGTTCTTGTCATCTCTTGCTTCTGATCAGTTACTTTATAACTTGACCACTTTGCTTATTCCTTAGCTATTCCAGACTCCCAGTTATTACCCTGGCTCTCCTCATTTGTTTGGTATCATTATTTCTAAGTCATCCCTGTTCATTGTTTGCCAAGATTCTTTTTTTTTTTTTAATTTAATTTAATTGTATTTGTGAACATACTGTACAGAGGAGTTACAGTTACATGGGCAGGATAATGCGTACATTTCTTACCAAGCATTGCAGCCTCCTCCTTTGTTTATCCTTCACATCCCTTCCCAGCCTCCCCCCTCCCCCCCAATCCCAATCCTTCTCCTCCTCCCCCCCCCCCCCCGCACCAACGTTGTAAAGCTCGTTTTGGGCATGACAACTTGTACTTCTCATTGTTGCAACAGGTCCACCTGTATCCTTAAACAAATGGTTTTTCCCCATCTCCTCCACAAGTTATACTGACATCAAATATAGTGAAAGCAGGGGTTATACTGTGGAGGAGGGACATACAAAGCAACAAAGAGATAATCTTATAAATGTGTTAGAAACACATGCATGAAAGAAAAAAAACATTAAAATACACATCTAAGGGTTCATTTTCCTGACATCACATTATCTGACCTTTTCCGCTTGACTCATACATATACTAGATATTACAAATAAGGGAAACCATGGGACCTACATTTCTTTGGGCCTGTTTGCCAAGATTCTTTCCTTCTGCTTGTGCAGATTTGGTTCTTTATAGATGCCCTGATTCTGACTCATTTACATGTTCCTAACCTGCTACTTTCTCAGATACCTGCATAGTCCTTTATGTCTTAGTCCATGCAAGTTAATGTAACAAAGTACTAAATGGGTAACACATTCTCATAGTTCCAGTGGCTGGAACCTTGATCCCACATCAAGGTTCTAATGGAGAATTTGTCTTTGTCTTAGGAAAATCTATTTCCTCATGGATATCCACTTTTTCTTTGTGGAGCAGAGGGTTAGCTATCTTTTACAAAGACACTAATAGCATTCCTGGGAACTCTACTCTTCTGAACTAATTACCTCCCAAATCATCTACCTTTTAATACCATAGCATTGGGAATGAGAGTTTCAACATATGGACTTAAGGAGATTTAGCCTTTAACAATATTGACCTTCTTTTTTTTTGGTTCAGTTTTTCTCCTGGCTTCTCTGCCTTACTGAGGAATGCTGAAAGAGCAACTCGTGTGTTCTGTACCTTGTAGCCTATTTCAACTAAACTGACTTCCTGAACTAGAGCAAGGATTACATGTGATAGGTAATGAGGAAGGTCCTTGCTCTTCTGCAGAGTGGATTGGCTTTCATTTCCATCATGTCACCCATGCCAATGAGGAAAGACTGGCTACTTCATCAGTGTTCTGGTCATTTTTCAAACTAATATCTAACAAGCCATTGCATTGTTCACTTTAGGGGAAAAAAAACAGTATTTTATTATTATTATTAATTAAGCCATCTTTATTTGTTAGTTCTTTTTCAGTTTGGATTTTCATGGCTTATCAGTTCCTTGTATTCAATTTAATCAGTTACATTGATCTATAGAGTCTAATACAGGTTCACAGAAATCTAACTATAATTTTTTGAGAGACCACTTTCTCAGTAATCTTCCACAGGTGACCTTTATTTATTACAAATAAGTTAACTATGCTATTGTTTATAACGTATTCATAATGTACCATGTGATTTTTTTTCTTTGTATGTTCCTCCCCCACAGTTTTCACTGTATTTGATTCTGGTGCCCTGCATCTTGTATATACACTTCTCTAATTTGAGAAGGGGAAGGGAAAAAAACAAAATGCTTAATTAGGGATACAGGTTGACCCATTGTAACAATGAGATGTACAAGACCCTATGTTGAAAATGAACTTTACAACTTTGGCAGGTGGGGGAGTAGTTGTGGAGGTGGGAGGGAAGGGATGGTAGGGGAAAAATAAAGGAGGAGGCAACAATGCTCTATAGGAAATTACCTTGCTCATGTAACTGTAACTCCTCTGTACAGTAGTTTTACAATTATAAAATGTACAAAAAAACCAAATAAGTTAACTGAGAAATAAGTAACAATATCTTATTTCATTTCTACATTCTTTAATCTTAACATACAGGAAGCCTTGGCTCAAGCTTTTTGGATTGATATTAAACGAATGGATGCCCCAGAATGTTATTTTAATTCTTTGCCCAAAGAATTGGAAGTCAAAAGAGATCGGATGGTCCATTTGCTTGAAAGTGTTGGCCTCAAACCCATAGTTCCTGACGGAGGCTACTTTATCATTGCTGATGTATCATCACTAGGTTTGTGAAAGTTTTTATTTTTTCAAATATACAGAAACATACATGTGAAATAATAGTAGATTTATGTGGAAAGGTTTGGTGTCAAAGCTTTAGGAGTATTTTCTCTGATACTCTAATAGAAAAGGATGAATTTCCATGATGTCAACCTTTTCTACAATTTCCTTTACATATAGGACTTTTTCTTGAAATGTGATGGTGGTTAAATGGTTATGAAATAAGGTATTCTATCAAACATAGACTCTGCCATCATTCTGATCTGATGTGTAGTTTAAAACTCTGTATGTGAAATAATATGAAATATTCTTTGTTCACTTGAGTAAAAATTAAATTTCCTTTTCCTTCAACGAATGAAGAGAGGAAAGGTGAGAGAATGCAATCATGCAATCCTAGTATTATGCATATATATATATATATATGGGGAATGTAACTAGAAAAATTGACAGGATGTGTGGAATTGGAAGAGATGAGAGACAGGATAAAAGGGATGACATTGATTAAGATGCATTGTTGAATTAAAACCCTTTGTACAATTACTTACAGGTAGTGAAAATAAATAAAGTGTTTTGTTAAGAGGAACAAGATTTCTAGAAATATAAAAGCCCTCAGGAAATTTTTCCACTTTCAAATATTGAAATAAAATAAACAAGGAGAATAACATTTATCGAGATTCTACTCTATATCAAGTATCTAGACACCTATTTGAAAAAGCTATTGTGCAGACAACAAGGCTTGAAAGCGTTAAATAACTTGCTTGAAGTTCCACAGCTGAATTTTAAATAGTTTTATCTCAGAAAATTTCTGGCATGCCATTCTAACAAGTTGAGAGCATAACAATATTTTATATATAACTTATTTTCTTTGAAAATGCTGATTTTGTTTTTGACCTTACATTTCCTAAGTGGGAATTATTTCCTAATATGCTGGCATTTTTGATATTAGCAGTTCCTACTTTTTATAATATTTCATTAACATCTTCACAAGTTTCAAGGTAAGTGAAAAGTTGGGATTTTCCTATAATTTGGTTGGTCCTGAAATATGTCTCTGGAGAGCTGTAACCTCTAGCCCTGCCCTGATGGGGTTGCAGAAGAAAGTGTCATGAATGTTTACCAGGTGCCTGGCTTAAAATACTTCCTTCTCCTGGTTAACAGACTACTTGCTGCCTCAGTGTCTGACCTATGACCCAACTTCTCTCTCACAGGAAACCTGTTTATCCTGGCAGACACCCTTGGAGTTTCTGGGTCCAAGATAGCCACAGTCCAAAAGAGCTCTGGCCAGGAAGATAGTCAAGTTTGGTTGTGACAATCAGGTCAGCAGAAGAAAGGGCCATACTCCTGGCAGGACTGACAGGAAGTGAAGAGCCTTCTGGAATACACACACACACACACACACACACACACACACACACACACACACATACACACACTCAAGAAGTAGTGGAAAATTAAAGAGAGAACAAGGAACCTGCCCAAAAGCCTTTATTAGTGTTCTAAGGAGTCACCCAAGTAGATGTAACTCAGCAAATTGTAATTAGTGGTTTTAGCGCAGACATGGCTCTGTGGAATTACACTCTGGGAGCTTTTAAGTGTGGTATGGCTTTTCAGTTCACAAGGAGCATTGAGATTATTGGGCAAATCAAGTAAGTTGTCTCTGGCTGTCCTATAAGGAGATGGTTACCAGCTTGTTACATAAGAAATGTCCAGAGGCTGGAAAGGTGGCTCAGTGGCAAAGTGCTTGCCTTGCATAGGATATGTCCTAGGGATGGAGGAGGCAGAGATCTGGAAACTGTGTTAAGATGCCTTAAGTTTTTTTGTATTAATAAGTTTTTTCATTGTGAAAATACCATACAGAGGGGTTACAATTACATGAGCAAGGAAGTGAGTACATTTCTTATCAAGCATTGTTGCCTCCTCCTTTGTTTCCACTTCCCAACCCTGTTAAGCTTTGTTTCTGGCATGATACAGTCTAGCTTTTGTTGAGTGTGGTTATCAAACTGATGTAAAATTACAAGATTTCACTCCATAAAGGTTGGCTCAAACGAAAGCAAGTCTCTCTTTTCATGTATTTCTTTAATTGTTCTGCAAGGAAAATGAGCTGTGGTAAGTAGAGGCTTTTAAAGCCCTAGGGCCAGAAAGCTCTGTTGGGTAAAACCCCAAGCTCTATCTTTGCATGAACTCCCTGTGTTTTATACATTTTGGAAAGCATTTTTTCCTATAGTGGGCCCAAGTATGTAGCTCATTTTATGAGATGATAAGAGATAGCACAGTTTGCATTGCTTACATTTTTGCCTTTGAATCATAAATCCACAAAACTTTTTTCCTGTGAATTCTTTTGCTTATTAAAAGAAAATGGCTTATGCATCATATGTTTCCAAAAGGAATTTAAGTCTACGCATATAAAATATATGTAAATGGAAATGATGGTATATAAATAAAAAATAATGGCAGAGAAGAGTTGGAAGAAGCTGTGTCTTGGTTGCCTAGGTTTTCATAGCTGTAATTAGCATCAACTGAAGATGCTCTATTTTATTATTATTGTATTTAAGTAGCTCTACAAAGGAGTTACCATTCAACATCTTGATTTATGATTATAATGCTTCTTGATCTTTGTTACCCCTTTCATCATTCTTCCCTAACTCTCCCAACCCTACCCTTTCCCTCAGGACTGGAGACTCATGGTAGCAAATGCAGATAGAAAAATGGCATCAATTGCTTCATTGTAGATAAAAACAATTCTTTCATGCTTTTCTAGTAAATTCTAGAAAGGATTTATTACATCCTGACATTGTTACCAAAAGGACAGTAATAACAACTCAGGTTATTCTACTAGGCTTTGATTTAGCTTCCCATTTATTCCTCACTTAATCCACCAATACTAGTTTAGGTCCTAGATTTTTCAACTAGTTTTTTTTTTTTAATATGAGAAAGGATTTTGATTAGAAAATCTTTCCTGCTGATGGGGGACAGGTATGTGTCCCTTCTTTGTGGTTCTCCTTCACCATGAGGAAGAATGTCAATGTCTAAAAGATTCCAACATACAAAGAAAATTTTGTTTCATTATTTCATTTTCTTTAAGTAAACTGCAATGCGTGGTCTCTTCAAGATGCTAGAGTTTGGTTCTCTCCTGTTGTATTAGTTAACGTTTCTCATTACTGTGACAAAATACCTAACATAAAGGGGGAATTAAATTATTTTTGGCTCAAGGTTTAAGGTGATTCTGTACATAGTTATTTGCCTCAGTGTTTCTGGGCCCAGAGCAAAACAAAACAGCATGAAATCAGGAGCACATGAGGAGCTTTTTCCCCTCCTGACAGACAGGGGAGGCAGAGTGGAGACAATGGAGACAGAGGGCTAACACAAGATAGAACCCAAACAAAGCATTTAAGTGACCTACTTCCTCCAGCTAGGCTTCCACCTCCTACTTTTCACCACCTCCCAACAATATTATCCTACTTTGACTCCAGCAAGAGACTAATTCATTTTGTAGGTCACATCTCATGATCTAATCATCTCTAGAAACTCCCTCACCCAGATGCCCAGAGGTGTACTTTACTATACTAGGTGCTTCCCAATTCAGTGAGGTTGACTATCAAGATTAATCGCACACTTTGACTAAAGACAAAAACAAGAACTTTCACTATGTGGAAACGAGAATAAAAGTAAATCACATTATTTGTAACCATAGTGATTATTTACCTTTATGATCAATGACAATGGCTGACTGGTTACTATGAATTGAACATTTATGACCTAGTGTAGTATATGAAAAGCTTTACAAATACCATATTCTTAAGAAAGCTATATACTATCATATTCTGACTGAGATGAAATATTAAAAAGATAGTCAAGTAACTGAAGTTAATCAACTAATAAATAGAACTGGGCTTTGAACTCAGAGGTACATATTCTAACCAGTGAATACATGTTTTCTGCTAGCAGTCTTTCTAGACCAACATGCTTCATTCTAGAACTTGGAAGAATAACATTTGGTACCAGGACAACAAATAAGGACAGGGTAACAAATAAGAGGTTATTCCTGTTGTTCTGCTAAGATAATGAGATTCAAAAGCATGAAAGATACAGTGGGAATTCAAAAGCCAATATAGATGACTTAAATATGCTAGTACATTTGACTTAAACTATAAAGAATGGCTTTGCTTACTTTCTTGAGAACCTGTCTCAGGTATTTTGAGAAAAATATAGCTGAGCACTGGTGGGCTAACACCTGTAATCCTAGCTACTCAGGTAGCTAAGAATTGAGGATTTTGGTTCAAAGCCAGCCTGAGCAGGAAATGTGTGATATTCTTATCTTCAGTTAAATCCATCCAGAAGTGAAGTTGTGGCTCAAGTGATAAAGAGTGATTGTTGTAAGCAAAAACTAAGAAATGACACAGAAGGGATGGAGCGAGGGAGAGACAGAGACAGAAAGAGAGAGAAAGAGAGAGAGAGAAGAAAGGAAGAAAAGAAGGAAGGAAGGAAGGAAGGAAGAAAGAAAGAAAGAAAGGAAGGAAGGAAGGAAAGGAAGGAAAGAAAGAAAGAAAAAGACAAAAAGAAAGAAAGAAAGAAAGAAGGAAGGAAAAAAGGAAGGAAGGAAGGAAGGAAGGAAGGAACAGAAAAAAGGAAGGAGAAATAGATTTAAATTCCCTTTATAATTATATTCATCCCCCCTTTTCCCCTGTCAACACCATAGCAACATGGCAATATATTCTATTTTCCTAAGAAAAGAACTTCTAAAGAATGTTTTTCTAAGAGAAGTAGAATTTGTGTGTGTGTGTGTGTGTGTGTGTGTGTGTGTGTGTGTGTGTGTAACAGTAAAAAGAATAAGAATATGTATTTGAACGGTTCATTCTCCAAATTAAAAATTTAGAACAGCATAGAATAGCACAATGTATGGAAGCCCAAAGTATGGAATGCTATACAGTAAGTGTAATAGGCGATCTATGCATTCTCTGTTTATAAACAAAGAACAGTATTATTTTATTCATTTAACAAATATGCTTTTCATTCTTCATGCTAGGAACTAATCAGCGAGTTGAAGATATAACAGGCTGTAAAATGGATTCTTTACCCTCATAATCTATTGGAAGATATAAATATTAGTGAATGTAGAGTTAGTTGTTATTCCTTAATTATGATGGCAGACTCACTCTTGTTCCTAGGTGGAAAGGGAGTGTGGTGGCAGTTTATACATGTGCAAGTTGTGCATGATGATAACCACTGTAGAAGTGTGATTGGGTGTATGTGTGGCATCACCTTAAGCCATCTAGAAATCTCATCCATGAATTTCTCATATTGTACCTCATGAACAGGAGGAGTTTTCTGCATGTTCTGTGAATGTCTTCAGAGAAGGTTCGAAACTAAACCGTTCAAATCAGGAGACATGTTTGAGTCTCTGTAGATGCCAATGAAATACATGTTGCTCATGTTCACAGGCCACCTAATTTCCATCATTGTTTTAGATGCTGACCTCTCTGATATGAAGAGCAATGAACCTTATGACTATAAATTTGTGAAATGGATGACTAAAAACAAGGTAATATTGATGGATTTTGTGGTATAGTATTGTATTTTATATCAAAAAACTATTCTTTTATCAAGGGAATTGTGTTCTTTTATCCAATAAATTTGTCAATGTGCTTGAAGAATATTAACTATAGTTTTGTTAGCTGGTGTTTGTTCCATTTGTAGCTTTTGGGGGAGATTTTGAAAAAAAAAAAACATTTTATTTCCATGGTTTCATAATTAACATTTCCAGTATAGTACCTTTCCTGTTATATCATCCTTTTTATTTTTCAGAAACTATCTGCCATTCCTGTTTCAGCATTCTGTAATTCAGAGACTAAACCACAGTTTGAGAAGTTTGTGCGATTTTGCTTCATTAAAGTAAGTTCTCCTTTCCACTATCCATTATAATACCTTTCCTTCCAATTTATGAGCACCTTTTATTTCTTTTTATAAAAAATTATATACATATATGCATTTTTTTATATTTGGGCTGTTGTCATGAAGTTGTGCATGTACCAGAACAAAACTCAGTGTCTCTTAGAGGACAGACAACGTAAGTCAGACACCTTTGCAAGGAAGTATCAATGTCCATGATATGATTAATAATTGCTAGGTGTGAAAAATCAAGAAAAGGAGACCAGTAAGTTTTGTGGTTTTTTGGCCGGTCATGGGGCTTGAACTCCAGGCTTGGGTGCTGTCCCTGTGCTCTTCAGCTCAAGACAAGCGCTCTACCGCTTGACCCACAGCACCACTTCCAGTTTTTCAACTGGTTTTTTGGAGATAAAGAGTCTCCCGGACTTTCCTGCCCTGGCCGGCTTTGATCCGAAATCCTCAGATCTTAGCCTCCTGAGTAGCTAGGATTATAGGCATGAGCCACCGGTGCCCGGCTGAGAGACTAGTAAGTTTTAAGTATTCAGTAGAAACCTATCTAGAAGTGACCTGGAGGTAGATATTAACAAACAAGTAAATATTGGAAATATGTTCAGAAAACAAAAGGAAGATATGATCATAATGAGTTAACAGAAGAATTAGAACCATACAAAAGAACCAATTGAAATTCAATAAATTAAATGTATAATATCTAATATGAAAGCTTAATGAGGGATAGCAGAGGACAGGGGAGGGGTTAAGGTTGAACATAGATCCAGAGTAATTGTCCAACTGAAAACCCAAAGCAGAATTTATAAACTCAACCTTTGATACATGAGATAGAATCAAGTAAAAATATACACACCATTGGAGTACAAGAAGTAGGAGAAAGAGAGGGAGGAGGAGGAATATGGAAGTAAAAGGTAAAAGTATTTTACAAAATAATGGACAAAATTTTACAATATATCCAGAAAAGCAACTAAAATATCTCAAAAGCTCTAAACTATAACAGGAGAAAGAAAGCAAAAATAAAACATAACAATAACAAAATTCTACACACTTCATAATTAAACTACTGAAAATCAAATGTTAAGAAAAGACCTTCAAAAAAAGTGATATTGCATGCTACTCAGAGACAGAGATCACAAAGATTATGATTGAATCTCACTAGCTAGCTAGAGAAAAAGGGATTGTAAGCTCCCATCTCAATAAACAAATTAGATATGTTGGTACACATCTGTAGAGATTTATTCTAGCTATGTGGGAAGTGTACTTAGAAGGATCACAGTCTGAGGCAAACGAAACAAGAAAAACAACCATGAGATCCTATCTGAAAAAAAAATGAATAAAGCAAAAAGGATCAGGGGATATGGCTCAAGCAGGAAAGCACTTGCCTAGCAAGCATGAGGCCTTGAGGCCCTGAGTTCAAATCCCAGTACTATTTACACACACACACACACAGAAGGAAGAAGGAAGAGGGGCGGGGGGAAGAAGGAAAGAAAGAAAGGAAGGAAAGAAAGAGAGAAAGGAAGGAAGGAAGGAGGAAGGAAGGAAGGAAGGAAGAAAGAACGAAAGAAAGAAAGAAAGAAAGAAAGAAAGAAAGAAAGAAAGAAAGAAAGAAAGAAAGAAAGAAAGAAAGGAAGGAAGGAAGCAGCCAGAGACCGACCTGTATATTTCACATATAGGAAAAATGAAATGTTATCTAGATTCTTATTATTAACAGTGGGGACCAGAATATAATGAAATAACATGTTCAAATCACAGAGATAAAAAAAACAAATCAGCCCAGTTTCTATGGCCAAGATAATACTCCTGCCAACCCTGGGGCTTGAACTCAGGGCCTATGCATTGTCCCTGAGCTTTTTCACCCATCCTGTTACTTGGAGCCACAGCTTTATTTCTGATGTTCTGGTGGTTAATTGGAGGTAAGACTCTCATGGACTTTGCTGCATGGGCTAGCTTGGGACCACAATCCTCGGATCTCAGCCTTCTGAGTAGCTAGGATTACAGCCTCTAGTACCTGGCAAGAAAATTCTTTAATAATGAAAAAGGGTGCTAGGGATGTGGCTTAGTGGTAGCACAATTGCTAGCATGGATTTAATCCCTAACGCTTTAACCAGATAAAGCAAAAGCTGAAAGAATTCAACACCATCAAACCTGTATTAGGAGTTTCTGAAGATATTACCAGTCCTCAAATGTTACTGCTACAGAAAACAGTCTTAGTGAAATTAAGGCGCTTTCTATACTGCTTCATCTTCCACAAACTTAGTCAAGATGAAGTATATGCTGCTTTCAACTGTCACAGATATCCTGTAAGCAAACTGTTGAAGATTGATCAGAATAGACTATAAATATTTATAACCTAACAGTATAAATATTCAGTTGATTGAAATACACAAAGAAAGGCTGTCCATAGCTCTGTAGTATTACAATAAAAGGACATATGCTTCTCCACTTTCCATGGGCTTATATCCAGATAAGCCTGATGGAAACATACGTTATCAATGCATGAAATGTACTATCCAACTGCAGAGCAGGCTTAGTTTCACAGGCTACTGTGGCATTGCTGTTCCACCTCATTTTCACGTGGCTGACCTGGATCTATATCTCATGGAGACATCCTCTTACCACATATGGCTTACTTAGGAAACCATCAACATCCAAAGCATGTTTTCTACTGAATATCTTTTGGTTTTGTACCATTGTAAAAGTAAAAAAAAAAAATCATAAGTTGAGCCACCAACAATCAGAGACCATGTTTGCAAATACATTATTTGAGGCTATCAATAGAATCAACAGGAGGAAGAAGAAACATCAGACTTCAATTTTAAAATAATAAACACAATCCTCCTTTATTCTCTTCTTGGAAATAGTTCAGAAAAAGTTCCCAAGTTTAATTCTAAATAATTCACAAATGCCTCCAGTGTCTGAAGAAAGGGGTGCAGGGAGGTCAGGGAAGATACTTACAAAGGACTCTATCTTCAAATCATGGACTAAGCCAGCAGATTGTATAGTCATTGCCATAAACAGTAAGTTCTGCCAACCTGAATTTGCAGAGGGAAGAAATAAGGAAGAAGCCTACAGTCACATGAGGCAAGTGAAAAGGAAATCGGTTAGCTGTAAATTCCCCCATTCATCTGTGCATAGTGTGGCTAAAGTTGTGTGGAAGCAGTGTGGAGAAAACATATTCAATTAGAGACAGCCCATTCATTAGTAGGGAACAAGGTCTGAAAGACTGGCTTCTACATTAGTGGCATTAAAGTGTACGGTGAGCCTGGGAACATTTCCACTGTCTCCCAACACCGCTCCAATTCTCCCCTATAGAAATAGGCAAGTCCATTTCCAATCATAGACAGCAGGTAACACACCCATTACCCAGAAGCAGTGCCCGTGCATACAGTGGGAGTTTGCCAAGGGAATTCTACCAACAGTGTTTCATAATCAAAAAAGGAACCAGCTCTGAATCTTTAAAAGGTCACAATGACACCAGGTGTCAGTGTCACATGCCTGTAATCCTAGCTACTCAGGAGGCTGAATCCTGGAGCATCAAATGTCAAAGCCAAGCCAGAAAGAAAAAGCAGCAAGACTCCATCTCTAACTAACCAGCACAAAGCTTGGCTAGAGCTATGACTCAAGTATAGTCTACCAGACATAAGTGAAAAAGGTGAACAAAAGCAAGCAGCCTTGAGTTCAAGCTCTAATGCAGAGAAATACTTTGCCTCAAGAAAAGTTGTGGGACAGAGATATATCTGTGATAGTAGGCTTCAAATACAAAGAAATAGTTCAGCAGGCATCTAGACAAAAAGAAAGGTCTCATCTGGGGCCAAGTGAGGACCAACATATCAGCCCTCAGCAGTGGAAGACAGTTTAGGAATAGCTGCAAGTTCCTAGAGGACTGACACACCCACCTGCACCTCTTAGAAAGGCTAAAAAATAAAATAACACCCAAACATGCCAAGGTAATGGAAAGCTAAAGGAAGCAGCTGAACTCCAGCTCACAATGATAGTGTTAATAAGGCCAAAACGCTCTTACAATGTTAGGGGTAAAATCCTCATCAATCCTACCAAAGTTCTAAAAAGTTGTGAAAGGATGCTCAAACTCACAATAAAATTGATGAAAATTAAAGCCCCAATAAAATTTTATTTCAGGCCGGCACCAGTGGGTCATGCCTGTAAGCTTAGCTACTCAGGAGGCTGAGATCTGAGAATCCTGTTTCAAAGCCAGCCCAGGAAGAAAAGTTTGTGAGACTCATATCTCCAATAAACCACCAGAGGGGGCTGGCAAGGTGGCTCAGTGGTAGAGCGCTTGCCTTGCATGCCAGAGGCCCTGGGTTCAATTCCTCAGCACCACATAAGCAAAAAGAAAAAAGCCGGAAGTGGTGCTGTGGCTCAAGTGGTAGAGTGCTAGCCTTGAGCTGAAGAGCTGAGGGCAGTGCCCAGGCCCAGAGTTCAGGCCCCATGACCAGTCCAAAATAAAAAATAAAAAAAATAAAATAAACCACCAGAAAAACAGAAGTAGTACTAGGGCTCAAGTGGTAGAGGGCTCACCTTGAGCTGGAAAGCTAAGAGACAGCACCCAAGCCCAGAGTTCAAGCCCCACGACCAACCAAAAAAAAATTATTTCATGTATTAGATTGATAGGCAACATTCAAAACAGCTAAAGAATCTTGTAAAACATTCTCACACTTTGAGTATAGGGTATAATAGGTAAAATTTCTACAATGGTTAGTTTGAAAGTTTCCATCCAAATGTAAATCTGCATACCCTTAGAGCCAACAATTTTACATCTAATTTTCCCCCCTTGGGTTTTCTTCGACATTATGAATGACTTATAGTCAAAGGTTTTCATTGGAGCATTGTTTCTAAATTGCAAGATTTCAAAGAATCATTCTTTGTGTGCTGCTTGATGCATTTCAAGAAATATATGAACCAACTCCCTATTAGTGATAAAGCATAAGCAAAGACCCAATGGTTTCTCTGCACACATCATTAGTAAAAATGGAAAAATTAGACAGATGAATCGCTAGATCAACAATCAACGGATACATAATAAAATTCCAGAGATGCTGAGGGAGATAGGCTGGCTGTCTCTAAAGGTTTTCTGGCTGACTTAAAAATATTTTGAGGCTGGGTGTGGTGGCTCATGCTTTATTTATTTATTTATTTTTTATTTCCTGGTGGTACTGGGATTTAAAATCATGGCATCAGTTTACTGAGCTTTTTTTGCTGAACTACTTGAGCCACACCTTTCACTCCATTTTTTGCTGGTTATTTTCAAATAAGATCTCATGCCTTTTGCTTGTGCTGACATGGGTCCACAGTCTACCTAATTTCTGCCTTCCGAGGAACTGAGATTGAAGGCATTAGTCAGCTGGCTCAGGAGAGTAATGCTCCAAGACTGACCCAAACAAAAATTATGAGGCCCTCTCTGAAAAATAACGTAAAATAGGGAAGTTGGGAAGGCATGGTTCAAATGGTAGAGCACAAGAGCAAAGCCTTAAGTTCAAACCCCAGTACCACTAAAAAAAATTTTTAATGCATTCAATATGTTTCAAGAACCTAAAAAAACTATTTTGGAATAAGTTGTCATTCTAATTATTGATGATACCCTATTACCTCAAGTACATCATTATAATGTTCACCATCAGCAAGGACATTTTTCTCCAAATGCACAGCATCATGAAGTCAGCATGGATAAGTTACTATCCCATCCAATGCTGAGATCCAACCCAAATTTTACTGATCCTATCATGATCCTATCATGTTGTTTATGTACAAGTAGGTCTAGACCAGAATCCTGCCAAAGGCCATCAGTCTAGGCCAGATATTATTCCACCTGCAATCTGGAATGGTTCCTCTCTTTGTCCTTTTTTAAAAATTTTCTTCCTTTACTAAAGTTTGAACTCAAGACCTGGCACCCTGTCATGTGGGTCACACTTCCAGACCAGTTCTTTCACTGGTTATTTTGAAGATAGTCTCTTACATTTTTTGCCTAGGCTAACTTCAAATTCTTTGATTCTCAACCTCTCAAGTGCCTGGGATTCCAAGCATGAGTCACTGTGTCCAGTATTTGGACAATAGTATTGAAGCCTGATGTTTCCCCTTGATTAGTTCAGGTTGTTCACTTAGACAGGAAATCAGGGAAATGATGCGTTCTTCTTTTTGTTGAATCAGGTGGCACATGATTTCAATTCTTCCTGTTACTGGTGATGTTCATTTAATTGCTTGATTAAGGTGTAGTTTGCCAAGCTTTCTTTTAACTTAACTTTTTTCCATTAACAATTTTAAATATTTGTGTATTAAATTATGGAAGTATTCCAGGCATACCATCAAATTATTCATTTTATCTAGTCATTGTCTTAGTAAAAAACTAGGACTTCTGTCTTAATCAGCCAATTATTACTATTACTTATTTTGAGATTCAGATTTCCCCAGATTTGGGCCATTAGGACCTCCTTTGAGCTAGCTTTCTTTGGCATGTCTCCATCGTTTTTTTGAGCATGTTTTTATGTTCTCCATAACAAGGTGTACTAGATTTACCTTATTGTTATTTACACCAGTCCGCAATCAGCCATTTTCAGTGAATCTTATATCTTTTACTGGAAAGTGCTGTTTATCCAAAATCTGGACAGTAAGAGAGCTTACTGCTATTGGAGTGTTGCTGATCTCAGGCCTCCCAATTGACAGAGGTAGAGAATATTTGAATGTACAAGCACACACAAACATTTATTATATAGACAGTACATATCCAGGGGTTATTGGTTTATAAATCCATATCTACCAATATCCACAGATACTCGGGTCCCATATATAATAGTGGACTATTGGCATGTAAGCTATGCTCATCCTTCTATAAGTCATCTCCAAGTATGTAAATGTCATAAAATAGTTACACTGTATTGTTTAGGAAATCCTGGCTCTGTTCGGCAGTTGGGTAGCTATGGAGGGCTGTTTGCACACATTTTTACATCTGCACTTATTTGTGTGCAGATATATTTAACACCAGCACAGGATTTGCTCTGATTTTCCTCATTTCCTTGCTTGTGATTCCCCTCTTCAACACTGAGGAGCTTGGTTCACATTATTATTTGTTTCATCAATACCTCTGACTATTATCACTCTCCCATGAATGCTACTACATAGATGTCCATTATCCTATTCTGGCATTGACATTTGGAATCAAGGGTTGCCACTACCCCATATGGTTACTCTCACTATGCAGCCTTGGCATCCCATGCCAACCTGTCATCCTCCAGCAGATGTGCCCTCCTCCAAGTCTCCACACCAGCCTGCCTCTGGTCTCTGCATAGAAACCCTCCTTGCCCATTCTGGGCCTCCACAGGTGGGCATCCACTTCCCTTAACCCCATCTATTGACTTTTGTGCCAAATCTTTCTGGTAGAGAGGGAAATGAGAAAAAAAAAAAGAATTAGAAAAGCTGAAGAAAAACCGGAAAGAAAAGCTACATTTTTTTAGTGCTTACCCTTTTGGTTTCGCCGTAAACCAGAGATATGCCTGTCCTTTTCAATAATGTTATTTTTTTTCAATAATTATATTGGAATTTTGACAGGAAAACAATTAGTCATGTTTATAATGGATTAAACTTTCTTGGTTCAGAACAAAGTATGCGAAATAATATGTAAAGTTCAGGAATAAGCAAATGAAAGTATAAGCACATTATTTACTTTTTTTATTATGAGAGGTATACTTGGGAGATGAAGGAATTATTAGGGGAAAGTATGAGGGGTGGAATAGATTGCTGTTTGGGGATTTCGTGTGTGTGTGTGTGTGTGTGTGTGTGTGTGTGTGTGTGTGTGTGCACGTGTGTGTGTGTGTGTGTGTGTGTGTGTGTGCGTGTGTGTGTATACTGAGGCTTGAACTCAGGAGGTAGGCACTGTCCCTTAGATTTTTCACTCAAGACTTATCATTCTATCACTTGAATCATAGCTCCACTTCCAGCCTTTTGGTGATTAATTGGAGATAAGAGTCCCATGAACTTCTCTGCCTGGAGCTGGCTTTGAACTGTGTTCTTTAGATCCCAGCCTCCTGAGTAGCTAGGATTACAGGCATGAACTACTGAGGCTAGGCCCTAATATTTTTTCAATTCTAAGCTCTTCTGTACTTTTTTCTATAATTATAGTTAATCTGATAAACTATCCTCTCATCTTTTGGTTCTATATTTGCATTTACACTGAAAATTTTTCTTTACCTGGGATAATATTTGCTTAAATCTTTATTTAGTCCTAGTATGGTTATCATGTATATTTAAATCTTCATCGTGAACTTGTATTGGTATGTGATTATTACAATTATTTATTTAATTTCCAGAAAGACAGCACCTTGGATGCTGCTGAAGAAATCATCAAGGCATGGATCATACAGAAGTCGTGATGTGTGCAGTGCAATTTCACTTGATGACTAGTTTGAGATTGTTACTTGATGCTACCACCTGCTGGAGAAAACAGATATTTTGGTAGGGATTAATTTAAATAAAAATAAAAAATTTTCCAAACTTAATCCCATTTCTAAAAATGGTCAGTGCCTCATGTTTTAGCTATTCAGGAGGCTGAAATCTGAGCATCACTTGATCTTCATTCAAAGTTGACCTAGCAGGAAAGTGAGACTTTTACCTCAGATTAATCAGCAAAAACACTGAAAATAGAGGTGCAGCTCAAGTGGTAGAGTGTCAGCCTCTGCAACAGCAGAAGACCCTTAGTTCAAGCCCTAGTACTGGAACAAAATAATAATAATACAAATGCAGCAGTGGTACTCACTAGAGACTATGCTGAAAATGAACTGTACAACTTGTGATCGGAGATGTGAGGGGGAAAAATGGGAGAAAGTGAGAGAAGGGGTGACATTGTCCAAAAAAGAAATGTATTCTTTACTTGACTTATGAACTGTGCCCTCTGTACATCACCTTTCTAATAACAATTTAAAAACCAAATAATAATAATAATAAAATACTTTCCATGATCATTTTATGAGTCAATATACTATAATGGATAAGAACTGTGGGAATTAATAGACTTAACCTCTCAGTGCAGTTTCCACGTCACTATCAAAGGGAACAAAAAGGTACTAAAATGCTGGCAAAATACAACCACTCAGATAATGCAAGCCAGTTTCATTTCTCCATTGTGTAAAAAATTAACCAGTTAACTCTCTGACCTCTGTCTTTGGTTTGTCTGTGAATTTTTAGGCCCTCCCAGTGGACCTTGCTCATGGTTTTGCCTCTATTTCATATATTACCATCATTTGGAGATGGCTTCAAGGTCCACACGGACAATCATAGACAATCTGACATCTTCACATTGGGTCAATACTGACCTCCACTCCACTTCGGCAACCACTCCCTTGGACACACCTTGAGTACGTTTCACTTTGACATAATACATTCATCATCTTACACTATAACTATCCTTCTTGCTTGCACCCTCCTCCTCTTTCTCCTTTTCTTTTTCCTCTTTCTCTTCCTTCTCCTCTTCCTCTTCCTTGTTCCACTCTTCCTCCCCTCTCCTCTTCATCCTCCTCATCTGTTTTACAATCCAAGATGTCACTTTCTTAGTTAGTGCAATTTCAAAACTCTTACTTCTCAAAAAATGACCCATAGCTCTCTGATATCAGAATCCACTAGGATACCTTATTAAAAAAATAGAGTCTGTTCTTTACCTAAGATCTGCTGAATGAAAATGTCAGCATCTGGCCCTTCTGAGTGATTCTTACACAGATTAAAGGTTGGCACAGTCTCTGCTGCAATCCAAAGAGCCCTCGATTTTATTTTGGTTCCTCAACTGGCTTAGAGTTCATCATCCATTACTTCAGCCAAGATATTTTACAGTCTTGAATTACTGTCCTCTTTTTCTAATTCCCTTACCTGGCCCAAAAGAGATAACAACTCTGAGATTCTGAACTTGATGCCTGAGCCCTGGTTGCTGAACATTGCTGAAGCATTGCACTACTAGGCACATTCTAGCAGCTATGAATTCACATCATTAACCTAAACTAAACCTAATCCTAAACTACACACACACACACACACACGCACACACACACACACACACACAAATTTACCTATGGCCACAGCAGCATTTCTTAATATTCTCCCATTCTCTGTAATTTAAGAAAAAAATCTAAGCTCTATTCTCCTCCCACAACTAAAGCTACCATCAGCAGCACAACGGAGTTATTGCAAATAAACTCATCTGCTGCAGCAATAAACAAAAGGCTGACAGAAACTAACAGAGCTTGTCTTCCTGACGTCTCTCCAGTGAACCTCTACCTGTCTGCCTTGGTACTCATGCTTTCTTTAATTCCTCTGGTTATTTCATCCCTAAGCCTGTCCAGGCAGACAGAATGGGGGTGGTGATAAAATAGGGAAGATTGTTGGTTAAAAGTTTCCAGGCCTTTAACAATTTTTTTTAAACTTCCCAGGCCCAGCCAGGAAAAGGTAGGCTCAGAACCCTAGGACCCAACTATTGCATAGCAATTTAAGCCTCATGGGTAATGGTTAGACTGTTCACTCTGGCTGAGGACTCATTAAAATATTTACCAGGTTTTAAACTTCCTCCTTGCAGCCCTGGGCTTTGTCAATTGGTTAAATACATTGTTCTGCTTCTTCATTCTGTTCTGTACACCTTCAAAAATGAGGCATGCTCACATCTCCCCCATCTTAGAAAAATCTTTCTCCAAATTCTGTCTAGTACCCCATAATTTCTTTGCCTTCGGGTAAAAATATCTTTTTTTCCTTTTCTTTATCCCTATGTGCCAGTCACTGAAAGAAATTCTCTGTTTTGTATCAGTGAAGAAAAGCCTCCTCTCAAGCCAGAAGAGAGAAACTAAATCACAAATAATATGAAACAGTTTATGTGAAAACTTATATGTAAGAAGTGCATTGCTAATAAAGTAGAACAGGAAAGAAGGAAATGAGAGTGTGGAGAGACACATCTTGGCAATTTTCTATGGTGTACTCAGCTGGGTTTCATGGAAGTGACTTGGAAGCAGAAGGAAAGGAAGGAAGGAAGAAAACCTTGTGGGAATCCTCAGTGCATTCTGGGCAGGAATAAGACTAGTAAAACAGGAAGGTGCCTGTCATATTTGATGGCTTGACTGGAAGAAATAACCAAATGAGAGAGTAGTAGGTTTTTGTTTCATCAGAGAACTTACACTAGACCTCAAGATTATCATGGTGGTCTTGGGAAGGTAAGAAGTGGTCACCTTCTGGATGTATGAATATTTTCTTCAGCTTCTCCCTACATTCAAACACATCCTCTGTATGATATCCCAAATCATATCTTTATTTTCGGCAATACTGGGTTTAAACTCAGGGCCTCACTTGCTAGGCAAGGTGGATTTACTGCTGAGCCATGCTTCCAGCTCCTAAATATCTGTAAGTCATCATTTCTCTTTGCCCAAGTGTCACCATGCTGGTACAGGCCAATGTCAAGTTTCAACTTTGTAATAGTTCTTCCTGCTTTTCTCTGTTCAATCCATAATCACTAGGGACCAAATGAGCTTTTTAAAATGTAAATGAGGTTAAGATACATAAATTAGTTAAGAATATTTATGTGGTAAGTTACTGAAAGCCTAACCCAATGAAAGAGAACTTTCTGTCTCAGTTGAACATTTTAAGAATAATCTAATTTCAGTTATAACTATTGATCAAGAACTCAGATTATATTCTGTTACAGGTTTATCCATCTCACAGGTTTATCTTCTGTGTGTCAATAATATTGTTAGTACTTCCTGCCCCCCACACCCTCAAGAAACATTTTCTGAATATCATATAGTTACACTTGTACATACAACAGGAGGCACTTTGTTAGAAGCTCCAGAACATAGAATATTGAGTTATTAACTTGTCTTCAACTAAGTGGGAAAAAGGATTAGTGAAATGGTTTGGACCAATCTCAGGTCAACTCCACACAAATTGCTTTGTTTGAAAGAAGGAACAGTAGGAAGAGAAGAAGAAATGGGTAAGTAAACATCATAAGTGACTCTTTTTTTTACTTCCCTTATTGCTGTTCACATGAGGGCTGCTCTCCTCATCAAGACTTCTAATGCTCCATGATATGGAGTCTGCGTACCCTTCCAGGCTCATCTTTCCCAGTCATTCTTTGCTACTCAAAGATGTAGACATAGAACTCATTTCAGTTTGTCAACTGATCCTTGGCCTCTCAATCCTCTCTAGCATATGTCATTTCCTGATACTTAAAACATACTTATCTTAGATCCTATAATGGTTAGTATTATATTTCAATTTGGCTAGAATTGAAATATAAATGAAATTTCAGAGGCACTCAGATATGTCATGAGCCATTGCTCTGGATATTTTTGTGAGGGTGTTGTGAGATGGGGGTTACCATTCAGATTGGTAGGGTTTTTGTTTATTTGTGGGGGCGGGGGACAGGTGTTAGGGATTAAACTCATAGTCTAAATGTACACTCTCTGGCTGAGAAACTTACTTAACCCTGTAAATCAGAGATTTTGAGTAAAACAGTATCCTTAGAAATGTGAATCAGTATCATCCAACAAGAAAAAGGCTTGAATAGAACAAAAAGCTGACTTTCTGGCAAGACAAAACCTTCCAGTAGACTGCCTTCAGAGCTGTATTACTACATCAGCTTTTCCTGGTCTCTACACCATTAGTCCAGTTCATTGGTTTTGTAGCCTTTATAACCAAGTAAACCAAAAGTAAAGACAACTTGTCTATAAATTTCCAGTTAGGTAAGAAGTCATTCTATGACATGATGCCACACAATAATAAGAGATATAGATTTTGCACAGCAAGTTGTGATAAAATATTTTATGGATGATTTGGCTCTCAAAGAATAATAATGAAGTCAGGCACTAGTAGCTCATACCTGTTATTCTAGTTACTCAGATAACTGAGATATCTGGATCTTGGTTGACAGACAGACACATCTGAGAATCCTGTCTCCAATTAAACAGCAAAACGCCTAAAGTGGAGATATGACTCAGGTGATAGAGCACCATCATTGAGCAGAAAAAGAGGACAAAGTACAGAGTTCAAATCCCAGTCCCAGAGGGCATGTATGTGCACATGCGCACGCACACACACACATACACACACACACACACACACACACACAATAATATTAATAATTATGTTCATCTACTTTGTCTTCCTTTGTGGGCAAGGTAAAAGATGAAATCTTCTAAGACTACTTTCTACTTTTTCCTTCCTTAGAAGCCTGGAGAAATGACAGCCATCTTGCATTCAGGCTACAAATAGTAAGGAAGTGGAAGTTTTTGTAGTATGGAGCACACATGGAAGGAGACTGGGACCATGAGAGCAAGTGCAACATGGTACCTACCCTTAGATTTCATAACAAATAACACAAATAAAACACCAATTATGTAACCAAATATAGTAGCTTTCTGTTATTGATAAATGAATGATTTACTTCTGACATGGATTTTATAATAGAAAGGTCAAAGACCAACTGAACTACCAAAAAGAATTGAGGCAGAAAAAGAGGACCATCAGAAGTCTT